GTTCAAGGCAATTCTCTGTGGCTTCAGACAAATTGAACACATTCTCCGATGGCACTCATCCCTCGCCCAATTTCAGGAAGTGCTTCCAGCATCGGTATTTTTAGAGGACATAGGCTCGTGAAGAAGTTGATGTTTGAGGGAATAAAAAAAATCAATGTGGTGTTCCTTAGTGTAGGTGTAACGGTTGTATTGAGAGTATACAGCAGTTTTGCGGGAAGAAGGCTGCTAAAGCACTTTAGAGGCGGGAGGAGCACTTGTGATGAAAAGTTTGTTTTATTTTACTGTTCGGCCTCGTTTGACGGAGATCTGTAGGCAGTGGCTAGAGTGATTTATTTAAGGTATGAGTTATTTAATGAAGCGAGTGCAATTGCCGTAAAATTGATCAGTATTTTAAACTTTGCATTTTTTAGTTGCACCCATTGACTGCATTGATGAATATTAAACTCGCATTAAATTAATTTGCTCAGAAATACGTCAAAGATCAATTATATTGAAATACACGCTCATCAATTATAATGAGCCTACATACATTACAAATTCAATTACAAATAAAATTTAGCAAGTTAATCTGAGGCCAATTTAGACCCTTTAACAAGCACTTCGTGACAAAAAGTCTTTCAATTTCATTAGCCACGATTGTTGGAACGGTGATTCCATTAGAAATGGAATTTCTTAGAGCAGAGCCAAATTTAATAGCGTGCTCAAGTGTAATTGGTCATTCACTTGAGAAGAGTGACGTCTGAAAATCTTCGCCTCTCAACTGTCCGCCAATTTCTGTTAGTTTTTTTATATTCGCTCCTGATATGCAGTTTGGCCTGACAGGCCACGAAGGTATATTTTAACTCTTCCGTGAGAGCAATATATTAGACGGCATTTTTCTCTTTAGCTTCACTGCTGGAGACAACGCGGAATAAATTACAGTGCAATGAGGTAAATGAGATGCTTCCGATTAATAGCCTCAACAAGGCCGAACTGATCAGTCACCAAACGTTGAGTCAGCGTAGCAAGACTAAAGCATAACAATTATTTTCGCACGCCTTATGTACTGCATGGAAGGTGGCTTTGCTGAGAAGACAAACACGCACTTACTGCAACGTTAACTATAGCAATGTATTCTCCCAAAAAATGTCGAGGAATTTTGTTCATGCCATATTATGTCGAAAATTCCAAGGAATTTTACACGGAATTTTATAAGGAATTTACAAGAAATTTTACCTACTCAACTATATATGCGCACATTTTTATCATACTTCAACATGTGAGAAAATGATTGAGAATAAAGTTCAACTACAATTTTTTGCGATATATCAATCGGAGCGAGTCTGAGGCCTCATGCATTACCAGCCAGGAGCTGCAGTAAATGCAAGGCGCCTCATATTCCTTGTTTGCAGAGCGTAGCACTCCAATGACTGAAGAGGATGAGGGCATCAAGGCCTGGCTCTTGCTTAGAGCCGACCACTCTAAGAACCGGTTCATGGGGTGAATGAAACCTTGTATATTGAATCAATTAGAAAAATAAGTGCAAATTCATGGTACCGAAGCATGTATTTATAATGTGTGGGAATAAGTTAACTATGAGATATGTATTTTTACTTTTGTATTCCAGATGATATGGAAGGAGACAGACTTTGTAGCAAAGCTTTTTACTTTGATTGTTTCGTATCCTTCTATATAAGCCAGTGTATGAAGTGATATATTCGCGTAAAGGGAAGCGTCAATAATACATTCCAGATATTCAATTTATTGTGTCACACAACAGGAAAACATGCAATGCTATCAAAAGACTTTAAAATATCAGGCATAGTTGTATAACGACGTATAATTTATTAACTCCAAATTTGTCCCAATAATCATTTGATTATACTGTAAATGAAACAAAAAATTCCGAAATATAATTCTCAGCTGCAATCAAAATCGTTATTATAATAACGATTTTGAAATCGTAAAATCAAATGATAAATTGGGACAAATTTGGAGTTAATAAATTATATTGGGTAATCTTTACAGTTTTTATTTTTAAAAGTGCTTATTAAATTGACAATCTCATCACAAAATAAATTTTATTTGATAATAGACAATATTGCTAGAACATTCCGGGCATTTTATGCGTTGTGAGACAGTTGAATTGAACGAGTCCTGCCTTTAACTTGTTGAGAACCTAGAATTCTCAGAATTTGTTGCTAAACTCACAGACTTGCCCAGAAAAAGTGCGTTCTAGCAGACAAAAGTAGGCAAATTCTTTTTATTTTTTTTTAGTTTTTGGTGTAGTATTTACTACAATTTGTGATGAATGTGAAACACCTGTTATAGAAGAACTGATTTTTTTTTCTAAATCGTTCAGGGCAATCAAACAAATTGGATGAAAAGTAGTCAATATTGGACAAATGAGTCGACTACGTTAGCATTTCACTGAAGCGCGACCGACAATAGAGCGACTATCTTTAGAAACTCGTCTAGTTCACGAAATAATTTGAATATTTTTTCGCTAGTTATTAATTAATATTTTTCAGTTGATAAGTCAGCAACGGACGAAGCATCGGGATTGTGAAGAACATTATTATTTTTATAGTTAATTGTAATGCCTAATGTCAGGGAAAGTGCATATTATTTATATATTTTACGAAATTTGTAAGTAAATAAAAATATATCAGCTAACATTTAAACATTTGTTTACCAATAGCGAATAAAATTACTTAAAGGCCTTCGATGATAGCTATGTTATAGAACATTGGTATCATTTCCTTAAAAGCCGAATTCTCATTCTTTGGTGGAAAAATTTTGGTTTTGGAATTTCGTTTGTGCTTCTTTCAACCTTATATTCAAACCCGCAGCCCAAACCACTCATGGTCTAACACAGCAAAGAATTCTGGCTTTTCTCGCCGGCGTCGACCTTCTTCAGAACGCGTTCTCAAATGGCGGGTGCAAAAACGAGAGGATGGATTATTTATGATGGATAACGACGTGGAAAAAAAAAATCATTAAAAATAATGGAAAATCTGTAGGGTGTGACAATTGGTCGAATTGTCTGAGGCAGCGAACTGCTCCCTAAAATTTAAATAATGGTGATCGTGAGCTACACTGAATTTTTTTATAATATCTTCGGGTTCCGAGATTTGTGAACGTAAGAATTTAGGTTTATAGTATTCGATATAAAAATCAATTCCAGACGTAAAAAATTCAGTCACTAGCACCTTCTGTAGCTCTACTGATTTACTTTACATGTATGGGAAACATTTATCGAAAATTTGAGTCGTAGATCAACCTTAAATTCGTCTGATAATTAAAAATGATTTAGGAGATATATTAGCGTTCTCCACAAATCCTTCGAGACATATTCATGGACCCTTTGATGAGTGTACACCTCACAGTGAATAAGGCAGCTTGCGCTCACACTTCAATTTTAATCTATTTGCAAGAGTCTCTCCAGTATTTTTATATATTATTATATCATAAGTATGTCAAATAGTGCAATCAGTTGAAAATTCATTTTCTTGCCTTGAAATGCAGTGCAGTATATAGCCGTGAATTAGAAGTTTAAGGAAATGAAAAATATCGTCGCAGAATTTCTGAACATTTGATATTCACTGTCCTTGCTTCATTTTATTCTACTTTTAAAGAACTGAGCGAAGCACACAGACAACAAAGACTTGGATCAACAAGCAACCTATTGACATCATCTTGACAAATTGAACATACTTATTCTCAAAATGACGATCAATTTGCGACGCATTTCGTTTTTATGAACAAATAATTTTTTTTAATACAGAATTGCAGTGTTCATGCGCTTCGTCCTTATTTTTTGAGAACAGTATATTTTAAATTTATTTTTACTGTGATATTTAATAAATTTTACCGTAACCGGGTTAAAATTCTTCGAAACTGAAGTTCTAAATTATATTGCTTCGATACTAAATGTATTGAAGCAATATACAGTGACAGCAGTGTTAGATAAATAGGATGGAGCGGGACGACGGGTGCGTAGCAGCTGATTGGAGTCATTGAGGATCCTGGGATGCGGACTCGACGGAAATTTTTCCACAGTCTGCCAGCACCGACGTGATAGAGGCGGCCATTGACAACGCCTGATAGAACTATTTACCTTGTAGGTTAATTAATCTTCAGATTACATTTTTCAATTAATTTTTCCCTGATATGTAGAGTAGATCAGTAGAGATGCAGAAGGCGCTAGTGACTGAATATATGTGGGTTGAAATTGCTCCCTGAATTTTAGATTGTAAACCTAAATTCTGATGTTTCGGGGAAACCTTAATCACGTTAGCCATGTCTGACATGTTTCAATAGATTGCATAATCATAATATTTTCCTCCGACATGTGACATGTTCTTGGTGACAGTTTACCCCTGTTATCACGGAACATTTTATTGTTATCGAGACTAATAATTCATACCCCAAAACTTATCCATTTCTATTGCAATTTTTTATGCAAGCAATACGGCTTTATTATATTTTATTGATTATCCATAATTTTACACACGGACACTAAGCCGTAAATTGCTCTAAATATGTTGTATGTTCTCGGAAAAGACGTAATTACTAATTAAAATCCTTACATAAATACCTTCATTCGAGATCAAAGACGCTACCTTCATCTGAGGTTTGTTTATTAAATCCCATATCGTATTTCTCTAATGAACATCCACGTGTCCATTCTTGATCCAGTTTTTCCCCTCAGGTCCACGGCCGTCGTTACAAACGATGTGTTTTATGCCAGGGTGCAGAAGAAACCCTCGGCTCCCTCGCTGCCGTGGAAGAAAAGCTTGGCTTAGACGCTTGATAAATGATCCTGTACCGTGGCCCGTAGGAACGGCGTTTGCTGCGTCCTTCGTTATTCAGGAGCTCTCAGCGCGCACTGTCGAGTGGCCGTGTTTTGGTCATCTAGAAAAGATTTCTTGCTTTACCAGTATAAAGTGTTTACTGCCTTGTCAGCGATGTATATAGTGTTTACTGCTTTTTCAGTGAAGAATATAGCGCTTACTGCCTTAATTGCCAGTGAAGAATCTAATGTTTATGGCCTTGTCAGTGAAGAATATAGTGCTTGCTGCCTTGTCAGTGAAGTATAAAGTGTTTACTGCCTTGTCAGTGAAGAATATAGTGCTTACTGCCTTGTCAGTAATGTATATAGTATTTACTGCCTTGCCAGTGAAGAATATAGTGCTTACTGCCTTGTCAGTGAAGAATATAGTGCTTAATGCCTTGCCAGTGAAGAATATAGTGCTTAATGCCTTGTCAGTGAAGAATATAGTGCTTAATGCCTTGTCAGTGAAGAATATAGTGCTTACTGCCCTGTCAGTGAAGAATATAGTGCTTAATGCCTTGTCAGTGAAGAATATAGTGCTTAATGCCTTGTCAGTGAAGAATATAGTGCTTACTGCCCTGTCAGTGATGTATATAGTATTTACTGCCTTGCCAGTGAAGAATATAGTGTTTACTGACTTATCAGTGAAGGATATAGTGTTGCCAGCATCGTCAGTGGAATGTACAGTGTTGCCCGCATCGTCAGTGGAAGGTACAGTGTTGCCAGCATCGTCAGTGGAAGGTACAGTGTTGCCAGCATCGTCAGTGGAATGTACAGTGTTGCCAGCATCGTCAGTGGAATGTACAGTGTTGACAGCATCGTCAGTGGAAGGTACAGTGTTGACAGCATCGTCAGTGGAATGTACAGTGTTGACAGCATCGTCAGTGGAAGGTACAGTGTTGCCATCACCGTCAGTGGATATTCTCGTGCTGGGTGTTCTACAATTTAATGATCATTTCAGTGTTCAATTATTTCACACTTTACTGACATCCAGGAGAATTCAACTACATGAGTGCAGGTATACCTACTAGTTCCTGCATGCCTGCACTCATGCTTGAAATTTCCAACTCGTTGACCAACCATACACTTCTAATCAATTTTGGGCATAATAGGATTAGTATTAAAAACTTAAAAGCAAATAAAACTCCACAAAAATTCATACTATCTTTAAACAAAATGTTTCGGAGTCCAGGTCCATCGTCAGTTTGGAAATTCAGTATTTCCGTGCTATGAAATAGAAGTTACCGATTGAGGCCTGATGTCATTGTTATTCTCAGTCATGGGCGATTTTCTTGACTTTTAAGAGAGGATTTTAGGCCGACTTGATGGTTGTCGACGGATGACAGCTATTGGAGCCAGTTTAAAAAAAAGCAACCATTCGCTGTCTAGCCCGGGACTGACGTGTCGTCAAGCTCTTTTCAGGGAGCCGGTAAACAAAACAGGTTTGACCAAAGTTATCATCTTTCGTCACCGAAAATTTTCACAAGGATGAGTAGAAGTAAATAATAAGAATGAAAATAAGTCAAAAAGATGTGTAATATAGAGCGTTTTTTCAGTTATCACAACCCTAGCTGAGCGAACATTTGATCAAAGAAAATAACGGAAAAGAAAAGTTGTCGTTTCTGGCTATCCCATATTAAATATTTCTTTTTCATTGAATGGCAATCCACATCTTTCGCGGAGAGTAGAGAGAGTTCTGCATTAGTAAATTTGTAAAAATTCTGCGTGTTTAATTACAGACAGAGCTATTAGAAGTGAGATCTTGTGTCAACTCGTCGACGGAAGATTAGAGAGCGAGGGGACTCAAGAGTGTCTGTTCATTTATCAGGAGAAACGCGTTTGTTTTGTAATATGAAGTGGGAGCTGAAGATAAACACTGGTCTATGGTTTAAATTGCATGTTTTACTGTATAGTATTAGTGAGTGTTGAAAATTTATCTAACCGTGTTAGTTTCCATGAAAAATCGTTGAAGATCCAACGCTGAAGGCTCTAACACAAAGACAAACGAATGAAAGATCGTGGTGAAAGTAATACGAATAATCATAGGAGGGTCTCGCTCCATGCCCATTCTTCTAATGATTAGCATTGCTTTCGAAATGCTTAGATTTTGATTAATAAGGTAAATAGATATTTAAAACTGGACAGTAATATTGCATCATAAGGCGACCGGGCGTAATATCTTCTACTCAAAGCTATATTGGCAGCTGGAATTTCATTTTTTTACAATAATAATAGAATTAAATGCAATCAGCAAATTGAAATTGATTTAATCGATGCGTATTTCCAGAAATAAGATAATTTTTTCATGATTTCATTGCAATGTCACCAAAAAAATAGCAAGTCTATTTATTTGTAAATCAACTTCATTGCCATTTATACTTATATTCGATTAAAAGTGTGGTAAAAATTTGTAAGCCCTCATAAAAACATGTAATATTGCGCTGAGAAATTTTTATTGACGCTGATTCCATTTCGCGTGCAATAAATCTCGAAGTAGTTACTCGATTCCATTTGTGAGAAAAGCGTGGATAAAACTTAACTATTGATATAAAATGCTGGCTAACTTGAATAAATTATCGCATGCATCATGAAGCAGACGCCGCTCCTGCAGCAGCCCAACTCGTGTGTCTCTTGGGATTGTTTTCCTATGAGGCAGCAGGGAGGAAGAAAAGCCAAATTTATTATATTTTTCTAAGGCCCCAAATCATCGGATTTTCCGTGCGGCGTAAACAAAATACCTGATTTACCAGTAAAGTCGAACTCTCTAAACTTTGGCCAGGTTAAGCGAGCAATAACACATTAATTTTGCAAGCACTGTAAATAACAGTTTTTTCTGTAACAATTTAACTGGCCATGTAAATAACAGTTGTTTTTGTAACAGTTTTACAGCCACTGTAAATCAGAGGGCTGTTGAGAGTGGCCTTCTGGCTCACTACATGAAAGCTGGCCGCTGTCACTGGTCATGAACTATTAAATGTTTTGCGCTCCGCAGCACCAAACTTCACAGTCGATAACATTTATAGCTGCTTCATTAGACTGTAGTCTGTATACCGTGTACAGTGAGAGGGGATTATTGTAATTGTGTTTTTTTGTTTGTAATGGACAACCGTTTGCCAAATTGGATTGGTGAGGCCAATTTCAATTCAAAAATGTCAATTCAAAATAATTTTCTAGTTCTAAATTGCATTTGCCATATGGTAAGATTGATTGAGTCGGATTTTAAATTTAGGATTAAATTGGCCAGCGCGCATTGCGTAATATTGGGTTGTCGAGGGAGAATATAGAAATCAAAAACCCAGGCAATATTTTTTGCTTCCATATACCAGGCTATTTAAGTAAGAGCGACGTCTATTAGTTGTTAGTTCAAATAAACACGGACTTTGAAAGAAGAACAGTTTACTCTTATGATCCTACAATACAGCCAAACTAAGTACATAATGCAATCGCCGTAAAGAGTGGGCAAATGTAATTGATGACATCGAATTAGAATCAAGAGCTAGCAAAAGATCAATATTAATGAAATATTGAATAACTGCGTGCAGTACCAGGGGGGGGGGTAATGAAATACCAGGTAATGCAATGGTAAATTGGGAACACAATACCAGTGGCAATGAAATGGTAAACTGGCATTGACTAAATCTTAAAAAATTTTCTTCCAGCTTAAACTAATTGATGGAGAGCCCCACGAAAGAAATAAAAGTTAAAATAGCTCGAAACAATTTTTGTTCATCGACTTAATTCTGTTTTCTCGGTAATGCTCCTGTCACAGAAATTCCATGCTTATTTGTGTTCCGAACAGCAGCCAACTTCCGAGTTCCTAAAACGAATGTTGCCCTGAAAACTACGACACCGACCAGCCGATGTCGTGGTGAATTGGAGCCGCTGATCGTGTTGCACTGCACGACGCTGCCGTCCCTGAGTCTTTATAAAGAAACTTGGATCGTTTGTTGCGAGCTTTACTGGACGCTGCTTACCGTAAAGAAACCAATTGAGGACCGACGCTCTACAATGTATCTTTACTCTATTTCAAAGCTTGGCAATAATGCTCCAACTTGGGCTTAGATCGAATTATACTTGTTGTAATAAAATCTAAGGTTTAAACTAACTTCGTAATTTAATGAATTATGTGTCCTAGGACTCAAATTTGCGATGCGGTTATGGTTTTGGGACTTCGTAAAGCTGACGTTAAGTATATTGTTGTCCATTAGTTATGACTGCCAGTGCTCAATGGAACTTTTACAACTGTAAGACAATTCATTCCCATGCGAAGCAATTTTGTTTTCACAAAGCGCAGCTGTTCACGTTTTTATGTAGTATAATAGTTTTAGGTCTCACCGACAGCTAAATTTCGGGTGGATTTGCTGAATTAAATATGTAATAAGGTACTCTGATTTTAAACAGAATATATTGCTGTTTTTTGTGCTGCGGCCACACAAAAAAGCTTCTATTTTCTTTAATATTTTAATGAATTTCATTATAATTTATAAAGTTCACTTTCCTTTAATTGCATTAGCTTAGTTCTGTCGCATGCCTATAGTCGACATTGGTCATTATTTTAGAACGCAGTTGAGCTCCCTAGTTTTGTAGTATTTTGAGCAGTACGTAACAAGCATGGAACACTAATCAAATCGATATTTTATGAGATGAAAAAGTATCATTATTTGAAATAATATTATCATTATACGCATCATAGGGCTCCCGGCCATAACCCAGTCTCAATAAAATGTACGTACTTTTGTAACGGATTCTTCAAAATATCATTCTAATGGAAGAATATTATGGAAAAACTCATCGCTTTCTACGTGCCATTCAATCAAGGCGTACTGAATTAGATGCTCTCTGAGTATAGGATATAAATAGTGCGCTAAAAAGAGATCGAAATGAGAAACGAACAAAATTACGTCAAGCCATTTTCTCAAACTTCGACAGAGTTTCTTTACCAAGGAGCGATGACATTTGACCTTAGTTTCGCTACAGTGAGTGAAGGCAGTAAGTTCATTTAATCAAGAAGTTAAACTAAAATAAAAATCTAAGACTTAGTTGTCCATTGGGAATTTTGAAGCGGCGCTTCCTGTTCATTCAAAGAGCCTTGCAAGGCGGCAGTTGTTTTATTGAGACAACTTTAACTAATTGGCACAGGCTTTTATTCCTGTAGTACCGTAGGAGTGAGATAAGGAGACTAACAAATAGACTCTCTATTCTGAAAGGGACTCTTACCGACATTTTTGATGAAATAATTCATGCCAAGATGCGCAAATCAGAAGATGAGATAAGAAACTCACATTTTTATGTATATACTTCCACCGACCACAGCCCATTTTATGGTTGAAAATCTCAAATGCTACTTGAGTCGAGACCTGAATCAGTAGGGAAGACTAACAGCAGAAAATTACAGAAAAATTTTAACGAATTTACCGAGCTGCTTGCAGAGAGCAGCTGCGATGTGGCGGGGAATGGATTAATTTTGTCTCCCCTGTACAGGACGTCGCAACAGAGCAGCGTGAGGACCGAAGACCTCTTCTTCAGATGAGCCTCACAACAACACAGCAAGGGTCCGGGCAACGTAATCTACCAATAAAATTATCGACGCTAGAATTACGAGATAACTTGCGATTATTATAACAATATACTCCAGGATTGAACAATAATAACGAAAGTGGTTTTCAACGTTGATACTTCCATGCCAATGTTGGAATATGCATTCAATACTTTAGATTAAAAAAAATATATAAATTAACTGATAACATAGCTGATTAACAGGGTTATTCACGGAAATTTCCTGTTTAATATTTCGCGCCCAGCAACCAGATGTTGTAGGAAGAGAGCGGAGAGTATTTCATATGAAAGGCTATAGAGGGCATGCATGAAGTTTTGTGTACCGCCTATAGTCAGTTGCCACAATGCATTGGACAAGTGAGCGGCGTGCGCTTGCTGTCGAGGCATACTTTTCTAATAGCCTTTTTGCAGAACTGTCTCCGTCTGAGACAACATTTTGCAGAACGCCTCATGTCCTTGGGAGGTGAAAATCTTCAGCCAGCCGATCCCCCGACTTGGCTAAGTGGGTTTTATTTAAGGGGTTATCTTAAATCAATTGTTTACAGTGACTGTCCACGGACCCTCCCTCATTTGAAGAACAACATACGCCAAGTCATCGCCAACATACTCGGCAATATGCTTCAGTGAGTTGAATGGAACTTAAAAATCGACTTATACTGAATGCAGTGACAACGGGACCGTCATTTGTCAGATGTCATCTTTAAAACCA